AGAAAAAATAATCTTGAAGTGGATCGCAGGTGTGGACGTGCAAGCTAACAGTACAAAACCTCTGGGCAGTAACATAGATCCTCTTAATGTTGAGGAAGACGAGACACACAAGATGAAATAGTAAGTTGGACTTCATAAAAATTAAAACCTCCAACTCTGCACTTCAAATGAAAGGCAAGCTATAGATGGGAGAAATATTCTGTGCGTGTGTGTATATATACACATACATATACATACAAGTGTGTGTATATACATCTACATATCTGTTGTGTGTGTTTAGGCATGTGTTTATGTATACATATATGTGTTCATTCACACATGTATGCCTATATAACAAATTACACATAAGCATTTGAAAAAGAATATATGCAGAATATATTTTTAAAACACCTGCAACTCAATAATAATAATTCAAAGAACCCAATTAAAAATTCTGAAAGACTTAAACTTGAAAAATAGAATAGCCAACAAGCACATAAAAAGAGGTTCAACATTGCTAGTCGCCAGGAAAATGCAAAATCATGATGAGATAGCACGACAGAGCCACGAGAATGGCCAGGATTTGGGGGACTGGCCCTCCCCCGTGCTGGTGAGGATGGGAAGCGCCTGGGGCTCCTGCACCGTGGGAGGAGGGTGATCTGCTGCAGGAGCTCTGGGTGACAGCGTGGCAGCTCCTCGTGACGTCAGTAGCTGTCATTCCATTCAATGCAGCCATTGTTTCCACCTCTGCTACCCAAGAGAAAGGAAGCACATGCACACAACGACTCACACACAAACACCCATAGCAGCACCATTTGTCACAGCCCCAGACTGGAAACAACCTGAGCGTCCATCAGCAGGTGAGCAGATGACCGCGCTCGGGCCCCCCACACCAAGGAACACGTCTCAGCAGGAAAACAAACCGAACCAGCGGTGCGCACAACACCTGGCACGTCTCTGCCTAGTGACGCCAGTGAGAGATGCCAGACGTGTTGTGTGACCATTCATAGAAAATTCTAGGAAGTACAAACTGATCCACGGGGACAGAAAGCAGGCATCAGCTGCCTGGTGCCGGGAGAGGAGGCAGGGTCATCCGCAAAGGGCCAGGCGTTATGGGAGACACACAGGATCGTCCTGTGTGTTGGTTTTGGTGGTGGTCACACAGGTCTGTACGCTGTTGAAGCTCATTGAACTATTCCCTTAGGATAGGTGCATTTTACTGTGTGTCAGCTACAGCTTGGTGGGCTGATTTGTTCTGGGGGTACCGATTTCTGAGGGGGGCTCACATCCCCTTGTTGCTCACAGCCTCCCATCCTCAGTCCAGCGGGACCCGGAGCCTGGGCCTTTCGCCTCGCCCCTTGCTGGCTGGAAGTTTCCGATTCAACAGCAGCGGCAAACGCCGAAGCCTGCCCGGGAGGCTGGCCTGGCCTAGTGCTGTGTGCTTCAGCCCAGCACACAGGTTTCAACAACAAAAGGGGAACGGAGAGCCCTCTGGCCACCTGGGCTTTCTGAGTAACGCTCAGGTCCTCTCCAATGGGTGAAATAATGATCATTAAAGAGGAGTGAGTCAGACTGAGGCCCCAGGAGTTCCCCTGAGGAGCAGAGGTGCACATGCTCCCCCCTCTCCCCGCCCTCCCTCTGCTCTCCCTCCACTGCCCTCCCAGCTACAGGACCCTTCCTGAGCCCCGATTCCAGGCCCCTCGGTTTCCTGCTCTCTTCCCTCAGCCCGGACAGTAGCCCACAAAGCCAGATCTTGAAAAACCTCAGGGGGCTCCTTAAAGAACTCTCCACCCTGCCCACCCTGCTCTTCGGGACCCTCGGCCAAGTTCAAAGTTCACGTTGCGGGCCTGCCCTGTGCACTCTGCCCTGACCACAGGAACACCTTGGTCTTATTATTCTGGAAGGAAACCCAATAGGCCAACACTTTTTCTTCCACCCCCAACAAGTCATTTCCTCTTAAGCCAGATTCGGTTCCTGCCTTGGAGGGAGAGGAGCCTCATCCCCACCCTGAACTTCCCCCATGCTCCAGCCACACTGTCCCAGGGCCCCTCCCCTGTGACAGCAGCCACTCTCATTCCTGAGCTGCCCCATCTCTGGACGCCCAGAATGACTTCCTCCTGAAAGCAGGACACGCACTAGCCCACGTGCCCCCAGGGCCCCGCAGAGGAAGTGCCATCAGTTCCGGGTGACAGGAACACATGGATGGCCCTGGAGCACCTTTTGGTGAAGGTCTCCTACCTACTGTGGGAGGAGTCAGTATTTGGAACACCAGCACTGACATGGGTGACCTGGCCCCTGACACTTCCTCCCTTGTGGAGGTTTGCCCTGCTGGCTGCGATGACACCAGGGTCACCGCTGTGTTCGTGGTGCACTCACTGTGTGCCAGGAGCCCTAAGAGGCTCCTGTGGGACTCAGTGTTCTCATCACCCGAAGTAGACTGCATTGTCACGTGCGCCATCTTGAAAACGATGACAGTGGCGTTATCGTCCATTGTTGCAGGACCAGGAAGCGGCAGAGCGGGGATGAAGCCAGGTGTATCTCACTTGAAGGATACTGTCCGAGGCTGTGTGCTCCGCTCCGCGTGCCGCCCGCAGGGGCCGGCTCCGCCTTGCATGAGCAAGGACTCTAGCAGCCCCTTGGAGCAGCCACCGCTCCAGGCTATGCCTAGACCCTCACCAGAGGGGTAAGGAGGAGAAAACCCCAAAAGCCCCAAGTGCCTGTCATGTATGGTCACGTGCTGAGGGAGGTGCCGGAGCATGCTCAGCGTTGCCACACCCGGACAGGAACAGACACATCCACAATGTCAACACCTTGTGAAACGCCCAGCAGGTGCGGTCACCCATGGCACAGAGATGTTGGCAGGGCCAGGCGCAGGTGGTGGGGCCCTGAAAGGGGATCCCTTAACCCATGGCCAGCCCCGCGAGGCCCACGGCCACGATGAATCTCACAGCCAGGTTGGCCCCTCTTCGTCTGCGGGATGGCAAATGGCTGGCGACCAGACCAATGAGCTGGGGACTGCGCCCCAGCATCCCCCAAGGTCCCCAGGAGGCTCCCTGAGCAGGGTTTAAATTTCCAACCTGAGAAATCTAGATGTTATTCATAGTAATAATGATGATAATGACCACGACACATCACCAAGTTCCAGAAGATCCAACCACGCAGGTGGGCACAGAGTCCCCTGGCTGCCAGCTATTTGCTGGGGAGCTCCACACGTGCCCGATGGTGCTCGGGGCAGGTGAGGTAGGATGTGATCCGAAGGGCCTCACGGGAGAGGACCGCCCACCTGAGGGGCCAGGACACACATCAAGTTCTTCCTAGTTGACAAGACCCCTGTCCCAAACAGTAAACGGAGAGCTCCCTTTAGTCTTCCCCACAGCGAACGGAGCCTGGCCCTGCTCTCCGCACCCTGGGGACCAAGGGGCTGGGAGTGCTGGCGGGCCACCCAGGGCCCAGAGTGGGCATCCGCGGGGTTCGGTGAGCTCTCCTGGGGCTGTGCGGTCCAATTCGCCTGCAGCCAGAGCAGGCCCCATAGCTCGGATGTCTGATGTAGCTGTTCTCAATCAAGCAGCGCTCGCTGAGACGTTCCTCTGAATACAGGGAGACGTTGGCTGGGCCTCCTCCACAAACCTGTGAGGCCTCACCGGCCTCTCAGACCCCGTCAGCTGCATCGAAGCAACACTTGACATATTGTTGTTCCACACACGCAGGCCATGGAAACGTGGTCTGTGCTTCCGGATTCCCCGCGGACCTGACACCTTCGGTCGTCTGTCCTCCCTGCCCTTGCTCACGCATGTCTTGCCCCGGAGCCCCACTCTCCACAAGGAAGCCACTGTCCATCTCTGGGCATCTTCCCCGAAAGACCTTCCTTTCTGTTGTGGTAATACACACCCAACACAAAATTTAACATCTTTACCGTTTCCAAGCACACAGCTCAGTGGCATTAGGTACATTCACGCTGTCATGCCACCGTCACCTCCGTCCATTCCCAGAACTCTGACCGCCCCTCCGCTCTATGGATCTGACTCCTCTAGGGGCGTCACGTAAGCGGAACCACACGGCGTTGTCCTTTCGTGCCTGACTTGTTTCCTGAGCATGTCTCCCAGGGTCATCCATGTAGCAGGTGCCAGAACTTCCTTCGTAAGTGGGAGTAATATTCCAGTGTGTGGATGATCCCATTTGCCTACCTAATCACCCTTGGATGAAGCCTTGGGCTGCTTCCAGCCCTTGGCTGAGGGGCTACAGTGAACAACCGGGCGCAAGTATTGTATCTACTCGTATCCCTGATTTCAGTGCCTTCGTGTCGATGCCCAGAAGCAGGGTTGCTGGACCACACAGTGATTCTGTCTAACTTGCTGAGGAACAGCCCACAGTGTGTCCAACCAGCAGGGCACAAGAGTTCCAATTCTTCCACCCTTGCCAACACTTTTTATGTTTTTTTTTATAATGACCATCCTAATGGGTGAGAAGTTGACAACTTTAACCACAAAGTATCTGCTGGGTACAGAATGAACAGGACCCTCTGTTCTTCAGGCAGCCGCGTCTGCCCTACTGCTGGAAGGTGGCAAAGCCAGCGTGGAGAGACCAGGAAAGTTTTTGGCTGTCAGATTCTTCCAAAGTCCTCGTTTATAAGTGGATTCAGAGAACATTGTGAGGGAAGGGGCAAAGGGTGAATGGTGCCCTGGAGGAGAAGAGCCGGCTGGAAACAGATGTGGGTGTGAAGTGGTTCAGCGGATTCGCCCAGGAAGGGGCTGAGAACCAGCGAGGCTGCGTGCACACCCTCGGGCGCCCGGCTCAGGCCGCTCCTCTCCGCACCGAGCGCAGGGTGCCCACGACCACCGCCAACGCCAGGCGCGGGGAGTGGCGCCTGCAGCCTGGCTGCCACCGGTTCTTTGCAGCGAGGCTGAAAGCGGGGATTGGCACCGGGCCCGCCCCTTTAAGATCTGAACCGTCCACAGGCCTGGAGGACTTGGCTTCTTCTTAGTGAAGCGGCTGTAAAAGGAGGCGCACCCACAGAGACCCAAAGGAAAAAGTCAGGGTTTTTTCCCCCAAATATTTTATTTAAATATTAAATTAAAAAACATACATCCACTAATCATTTGGCATACATTTCTCATTGTTAACATAAGAAACAAAGTAATTCAGTTATGGTAAAAAAAAAAAAAATGTACATCTTAATCAGATCACGTAGTGCCTTCAAACAGGCCACTGCATTCATTCGAGAACAGCGCTGTTGGGAAACCTATAAAACACACGTCACACACACTTAAAAACAAGACACACAACTTGACTTACAGCAACGAGAAAGAAAACCACCGTGAAAGTAAAGTGCTTGTCATGGTTCTGAGGCCTTTGATCTCTGGCGTTAGGACAGAATGAACTTCAAAAAGGGAGCTGGTTCTGTGTTGGGACCCCCGTACTACCTGTGTGGAGGCGACGGCCCTGGCAGCCCACGACGCAGGTTCTCTCTGCCCCCAACCTCGCTTACAAGTCAGCAAGTGGCTCTGGGGACTTCTCAGAGGCCAAGGGCAAGGACAGTCCCTTGCCCTGATCCTTGGCAGGAGCCAGAGCAGCAGTAGCAGTGGCGGCGCCGGGAGGGACAGTAGCAGCAAGCTGGGCAGATGCAGACGCACGGCCGGCCGCCGCCTCCTCCCACCAGGGTCTCCAGTGGTCTTTGGCTTTTACCAGTGCCCGCCTTCCCCAGCCGTCACCGCCTGTTCAATACTGAGGGCGGAAGAGCCACAGGAGCGGAAGGCACCGGGGGTAAAGGACCAGGGCAGACAGGGCCAAGGGAGTGCGTGGCAGCGCTCTTCCCTCCTCTCCAGGGGCCTCTGGCCTGCCAAGCCGCCACCTGAGTCCACCTGCCAGGCAAGGGCGCCCCTCGTCCCCCTCCTCCACATGGACCTCGTGTAGCACTTCGTAACATTGCCAGAGGGGAACTTAAACCAGGAACACAAAGGTGTAGTAAAAAATATAAAAAATAAGTAGTGTCTATCTGTCTATTTATACACATGTACATTATTTGCTTACAAAGGAACAAAGCCGAACAACACTGACCTGACCTCTCATTTCATTTTCTTGAACAAAAGCCTAACAAGCATGGGCCTGGGGAGGGCGGGGCTGTCCACTGACAGTGACCCCTGAGTGCGGGCGGGTTGCTGCCCGTTCCTGCCCCAGGTCCAGCCTCACCGTATTGCACGTCCCCCAGGTCAGTTGTTCTTTTTGGACCCTGATAATGAAATGCATAAAAACTTAATTAGCAGCGGAAATAAGATGTGCGGCAGGAGGTAATCTCCCTGGCAGGCACCCAGGCCCTATGCCAAGTGCCGGGACAGAGCCCGCCCCGCAGCCAGCCTGCCCCTTCGAGGTTCTTCCTCCTGGAACCAACCTTGGAGCAGTTTACAAAACTCATCAAAAATAAGAAAAAGTGGTCCTCTGTTTACTGACCTCAGGGGAAGAGAATTCCAAGATTGTGCCGGTTATGTTCTCCTGGGCTGGCCCTTAAGAGTTTTTTGAAAACTGATACATAAAGCACAAAGTTCACAGCTTTCATTTGAAGCATAAACATTTCAGGAAGTGGAGAATTGTTAATTTAAAAGAAGGATACTACTGAACACAGCACGCGCGCACTCGCCGTAGGTGCACGCACTCACTCCTGCAGCGCACGGCTCACACCACGGCTTCGTCCGAGGCAACGGCCTCTGTGACCCGAAGCGCCCGAAGTGCACGAGGGAGCCCGTGGCAGCCTGCAGCTGCCAGGCCGGCCTGGTGAGCACAGCCAGCCCCGCCCGCGTCTCCCCTCGCTTCCCTCCTTCCCCCTCCTGTCCACCCGCCCCCACAACACACCCTCAATTATTATTTTTCTTCAGAAACATTCCAGTCCCTACTCATGGCAGCAGTTGCTCAGTGCAAGGAGAAAATAAAACAAAAAATAAACTAAAAAGCCAAAACACCAAACGTATTGCTTGTTTCGCTTCTAGGAAGTTAGTGGCTTTGAGTCCAGAATCGCCTTCACATACTCTGAGATTATTGCTTCGAGGAGTCGGCAGCCCATGCGGGAGGAGGGTGGTGGGAGGCGTCCCTCTCACTGCACCAGGACAAACGTGCCCAGCTGGCCCGAGGTCAGGTCCTCCATCTCACAGTCCCCTTGCGGCAGCCCCACGGGGTCGAAAGCCGGGGGCAGCATGGCAAAGTGCGGCTGCAGCGGCGCGGCGGCGTGCAGGGGTGCCGTGGCAGTGCTGATGTGCAGGTGCGTGTCCAGGAGCTGGGCTGCCGAGGCCACCGGGGAGACCCCGGCCTGGAGGAGGTGGGGCGGCAGCAGCGGGCCAGGCCCCAGGCCCAGCTCCTTCTGCAGTCCCGACACAAGGAGGGCGCTGTCACAGGGGGCCAGGACCAGTGGGGCCGGGGTCAGCTGGGGAGCCTGCTGGCAGCTGGGCAGGGCTGCTGGGTGGTGCTGTAACTGGAGCAACCTGGGGGGACAGAGGAAACAGGGCAGGGAACAGGTCACTGCCAGCTCTGAGCGCGGCTTCTCTGGTGAGCTCCACCCGGCCAGGCTCAGACACCACGGGCTTCCGTGGCCCAGGGAAGTGCCGGCTGCAGCTGCCCAGAACATGCAAAGCCGTGCGTGACTAATCCCCTGAGCAATTCCTGACATTTCCATTCTCTGCCGCGCTTTTATAGCAGCTCAGAGATGCCAACCAGACGTGACATTTTTATTCACTGCCCCCCTCCATCCCCCACTTACAGGCTTCAAAGTGACAAAGCCTGACTGCTCCCCACCTCTGCCACCATCTGCAGGAACAAGGCCCTGCAGGTCTCCCCACACGTGGGGGCAGGGAGGTACATTCATTGATCACATGGAGCGGGGAGCGCAAGAAGGCTGGATGAACGCGAGCGCTGCCAAGGTCACGGGCGGCGGCACAGGGCGGCCCTACCTTTGCTGGTGCAGCACTTCCTCCAGCAGGTTTCTGCCCTCCCGGCTGCTGGCCCCGCTGCTGTGCAGGCCCGGGCTCGGCGTGGGCAGCGGGAAGGCGCCCAGGCCGCCCCGTGTGGCCCGGCTGGAGGAGGGCTGGCACACCTGGCGAGCCAGCCCCTTGATCTTGTTCAGGCCCAGAAACCCTTTGGTCCTCGCATTCTTCCTCAGCTGCTGCCGGAAGGCTTTCAGGCCTGGAGAGGGGCAAATGAGGGCAGTTTATGGGCCTCTGTCCCCCAGCCTGGGACCAAGAGCCCAGGGCTGGCTGGGGTCCCCAGGTGGTGGGGAGGAGGGCAGAGAAACGGGCGACATGGAAGTGATGCGTGAAAGGACAGGTGTGCCTTCCTACGGGGCTGAGGGTGCTCTCTGGTCATCTAATCGCCTTCCACGCCCCAGTCCCTCGCAGGGCTAAGAAGCCATCTTTTGGCTTTCGTTGGGGATGGCAGTTCCAACACCAACAGGCAAGTGTCTGGGCAGACCACGGGTCCTTCGTGGAAGAAGGGTGTGAGCAGTGCCATGAGGCTAGGGAGGGGGCTCAGGCCCCCAAGCCCTGGGTGGCATGGAGGGAGCCCAGGCGGCCGGGTGCGGAGGGCCTCTCCCGGCCCCGGCCCTCCTCCGGGTACGGAGCTGCTGCCTGGCATCCAAGTGTCTCTTTTAATTTTTAAGACCTGCCCCTAGAGGCCAGGGGATTTTGTCCCAGGAAATCAGGCCATCTGGGATCCGCCCGAGGAGCACAGCTGCTCCACCGAGGCCAGGCTAGAGAATGGGGGACCCTCAGCCATCAAGGACAGTGTGACGCCTGCCAGGGCGACACACAGCCTCTCTCGGGGAAGGCAGAGAGGAGAGTGGAAGGGGGGGTCACCTTGAGTGAGCGAGGTGTCCGAAGCCCTCCGGCCTTCTTGGAAACTGACAGGGAGCAGGGCCACCCCTCCCAGGGCTCCCTGGGCCTGCAGCACCGGGGTGGCCGACTGCGTCCCCAGCAGTGGTGAGACCAGCTTGAGTGGAGAGCAGGTGCCCGCCAGCCCCTGAGCAGCCAGGCGTCCACCGAGCCCTGCCGGGCTGACCCCCGCCGAGAAGGTCAGGCAGCTGTCGGAGCTCGTGCCTTCTGAAGGGCTCGCCGCGGAGGAGGAGGAGATGACGATGCCTGCAAAGGGAGCACAGCGCTCTTGAGGGGCCCTCCTCCCCCGAGGCCAACGCGGCCCACCAGGACCTGACAGTTTCACCAGAGAGGAATCGGCTCCGCCGCCTTCCCCAGGCCCACTGCAGCCAGCCCCAGGCCCTCGGCCAGCCCCCTCGGCCTGCTGACAGGCCACATCTCTCCTCAGCCTCGAGGGAGTGGGGGTCTATGATAACCAGAGGCCACCAGAGGCCGGGAAGCCTTGCCAGCCAGCCAGCCCGCACAGGGGTCCCAGCTGTGACTGATCGGTGGAGCTGACCAAGGACACAAAGGGTCAGGAGTGAAGACCCTCCCAGGACCTGGAGAAAGCTCAACCCCACCACTGAGAGACCTCAGGGGCCGTGACCCTTGCGGCCTCGCGGGTTAAACCAGTGGCAGATCTGAGAACTCAGAAGAAGCCGCCTGGCAGAAAAGGGGTGTTTTGTTATCAGGCCCTCGTAGTCCCAACCATAAGTCCGCCCGCCAGGCCGGGCCCCTGCTCACGTGCACACTTACAGGGAGGGACGCACGGGGAGAAGGTGGAGACCTCGGCCAGCGTGTGCCTGCGGCCCGAGCTGCCGGGCAGGGGCCTCTGCGCCTCCGGCTCCTCCTTCGGGCCCTGGCCCGGCCTGACCTCCTCGCTAATGGTCGTGCCCAGCGGGCTGCTGGGCGAGACTGAGCGCTGCCGGAACATGCCATTGCAGTTGGCGTCCACAGGGAAGAGCAAGGGCTGTGTAGGAGGGACAGAAACCAGTGACCCTGGGGCTCCATGTGACCCGGTATGGGGGTCATTCGTCACCACCACTGGGGATGAGACAAGCTCCCCGCCCCCAAGAGGTGGCCCAGTGCAGATGCTCACACACCTGGAGTGAGCTGTGGAGGTCACAGTCCATTTCGGCCTGCAGGATGGACTGCCCCAAGGTCTGGGGCTGCGGGCACAGCAGGGAGGATCGGAAAGCATCACTGGGGAGGCCTTCCTGAGGCACCTGTGAGCCAGCAGTGAAGGACAGAGGCCATCAGGGAAGTGGCCCCACGAGCATTGCAAGAAAGACCATGCTGGCCTCGCGCTGGCCAAGACGCCAGCCCTGGCTGACCAGGCTCAGAACACGTGTACCCTCCCTCCGAGGCCGCCCTGTGTGGCAGTGATCCGGGGAGGCACTGAGAGGCCAGCTCCAGGGCCAGTGAGGAACAAGTGGCCATGGGTGGGACCTGAACCCCAACAGAGTGAACAGCACCCCCAGTTCTCCACACATCCTCTGGTCCAGGGCTCACAAGGGAACCCCCCTCTCAGACCCAGGGCTTAACGGGCAGGGTTGGGGGGGCGGTACATAAACGGGGGCAGGAGCTCAGCCTGGGTCTCTCTCTCCTAGGCCCAAGTGAGCAAGGGTTTCTAACTCGGGGGACAGAAGGCTGGGGCTTTGGATCCCCGCTCACCTCCACACTGCTGTGGTCAGAGCTTCTGGGTCTCTGCTGCCGGGCCGGGCCAGGCCGGGCCGACGGTGGGTTGCTGCGGTGCTCCTTCAGCCGCTCCAGCAGGAGGTAATAAATGGCCGCGAAGTGGTTATAGCTGCTGTTCTGAAGCGACTGGGAGAGGCAGGGAGGCGGAGAAGCAGGTCAGAACCAGGTCAGAGGAGAAGCCAGAGGAGCTGCAGGGCTCCCGTGTGCGGGTGGCGCCTTGGGATGTCTCAAGTCGCTCCCTGACAAGGCCGTTCCCAGGGTTATTCTTGGGAGGCCCAGAATATCCTTTAGAAGAGTGGACAAGCTGGCCCTTAAATTAGCCTGTGTTCCCATTTTAACTCAACTGGTGAGTGACTGCTTTTCCTGATAAAGTCACCCCTGCTCCCCAGAACAAGCACCTCTCCTGTCAAAGCCAAGTTGGGGGAGTGACGGGGCAGCACTCACCTCCACGGTCCTCTGCCGGTCCACCCCGAGGGTCTGCATGATGCCCAGCACCTGCTCGTCATAGTCGCCCAGGTTGGAGTTGTAGCCGAGTGCGGCACTGGCAGGGCAGGTGCGTGGCAGGGTGGGGTCGGCCTGCATCCACCTGTGCTGCCGGATCTGGGCGATGCTGATACGCTTGGCAGGGTCCACCACCAGCATGCGGCGGATCAGCGTCTCGCAGTCTGCAGGTCGAGGGAGGTGCACTGAGCACGCGCAGGCCACTGTGCGCACAGTGCCCACCACCCACTGGTGAAGGGAACAAGGCTCCCTTCATGCAGGCAAACGGACAAGTGACCATTCTAAAGAATACCGAGGCCAGGCGCGCTCGCCTGTGCCATCGGCCCAGACGGACCACCACAGAGCCCCCCGCAGAGGGGTGGGCCTCTGAAGGGGACACAGCCCTCCTAATGTCCCCACAGAGACCACCCAGACTGCCCTTTCTGCTGTGACCACATATGCCAGTAGGCACCAGGTCACATCTTTATTGGATGAAGAAGAAAAGCACAAGTGTGGGGTGGGTGAGACTCGGGGGGCACTGGGTGGGCCCCTGAGACAAAGCCCTCGGCCGGCCCTCTGGGGACACCCTCAGAGGGAGGCCCCTATCCATGCCCTAAGTAGGGCACTGAAAACACACCCCATGGGTTGGGTTTCTCCCGCAGGTAAACATCCTGTGGTGACGCAGGCCTGACTCACAGACCCAGAAGACGGTCAAGCAGGCATTTCAGGAAACCCATTCCTTCACCTCCTCCAAAGCTCCCAGCCCAGGCTCCCCACAGCGCCGGCGGCACAGCAGGCCGGCTCCTAACCCCCGCCTGCCCAGGAGAGGGCCCGCGCACGCCTACCTCGGGACATGAAGAAGGGGATGCGGAACCGGCCCTCCAGTACCCGCTGCCGCAGGGCTGGCAGGCTGGGCCCGTCGAAGGGGAGAGACCCGCAGACGAGGACGTACAGCACAACGCCGAGGCTCTGCGGACAACAGACGGCACAGTCAGCACCCGCACACCCTTACTGGTTAACCCTTAACTAGTGCTGGCACCCAACGTGTGCTGCGCACAGGCTCCTACCCAGATGTCGAGCTGGGGGCCTTCGTACTCCTTCCCCTCAAAGACTTCTGGGGCTGCGTATGGGGGGCTCCCACACCATGTAGATAGAGGCTCTCCCGATTTGTAGAAATTCCCGAATCCAAAGTCTGAGACACAAAGGAAGAAACGATGAAGTAATGAAGTTAGGGTGGAAAAAGCAGGGGCCCCGGTTTCAAAGATGTGTGAGCCGGCAGCACGGAGACCTGCGCTGGCACGTGGCCCCCTCCGCAGGACCGTGCTTCCCGGGCTGGGGTGACCCTCCTGCTTACCTGCCAGCTTGATGTCCATGTTTCCATCCAGCAGCAGATTCTCAGTCTTGAGGTCCCGGTGCACAATGTGATGGCTGTGGCAGTACTCAACGGCCGACAGAATCTGCCAGAACTTCTTCCGGGCTTCATTCTCACTCAGGTGCCCGTTTGAAGTCAAATAATCTGAGGAGCAACAACGCAGAATTACAGCCCCCAAGTCCACAAGCAGGGGTGGGGGGGCGTCCATCTAGGCCGTGACTGAGGGAGGCTGCGCAGTTGTAAGGTGGGTAGGCCCGTACTGGGGAGGAGCAGTTCCTGCCAGGGAAGCGCCATTTGGTTTGAACAGGTATTAAAAATAAGGGTGGCTCACCAAACATTTCTCCATTTTTTGCGAATTCAGTGACAATGTAAAGCATATCCTTTGTTTCCATAACCTAAAAAAAAAATAGATAAATAAAGACCAGGCGTTTAACCACACAAAAAGAGAACATGCCAATGGTATAAATAATCTACCTAAACCCCAGGGAATTGCTAACTTCTCTGGATGAGTGAATTCATTATTTTTGGAAAGGAAACAAAAACTTCTGCAATAAAGAAACAAATAAGGGGATTCCTATTCAGAAAGAGTTTTTTTAAAAAGTCAGAGGTGAACTCCTCATGAGCCTGCCTATCCTGACGTGTCTTTGCTCTCGGTGAAGGTGTCAGTGCATTGCATTCTCTTACATTGCATTTTGAACTCCCTCTGCCTCACCCACCTGGGGACTCTGCAGGCTACAGAAGTAAAAGCGATGTTGAGTTTAGGAGGGCTTTCTTCTAGGAGTCTAGCAGGCAACAGACTTTTCAAGCCAATGGCCAGCACAGCTGAATAATAGATGGCAAATGCCCCGTCCCCACATGCGTTGGTAACATGATTAATTAGGCCACGAGAAGCCAGCTTTGCCAAGTAGCTCCAACAGTCTGCTCTGTGCACAGCAAACCACTCAGCATGTGTCAACAGCAAGCGCCAGTGCCAAGTACACCTTACGGCAGCGGTCCCGAACCTTTTTGGTATTGCTGGCTTGCCCGCTGTGGGTGGGTAGGGGGGTAGGGAGGCCCGGAGGGTTAGAGACCCCTGCCTTAAATGTTCCCTTGTTGATCGAGAATTTTATTTCACTTTGAAAAAAAATTGTGAAGAATTTAAAACCTAACTAAGAAACAAGATAAAATTCAAATCTTTGGTAGCAAAAGTAAAACTAACTCATATCCAAGTATTTAAAAATATTTCAGAGGGAGGCAGAGAGATAATATATTCTTACAGAAAAAGATTTCTTCGGGGTTCAAACTATAGTTATTCCTTTAAAAAAGACACTTTAAAGACAACTGCTTTGAGCTGTAAATCTAAAAAGTGAACACCATATAGTTCAGCTAGAATTTTTACTGCCCTGGCCCTTCACGTGTCTAAGTCCATCCTTTTTCTCAATGAAAAAAAAAAAAAAAAGTCACAGAGAAAGAAGATTGAATGTGTTTAAGTTTTTTTAAAAGAAACCTCAAGACTTCAGCGTCTCACCAAGGTCCTGGGCCTGAGCCAGCTGGATGAAAATCAGATACCACCATCAACACCAGGCTAAGAACAACCGTTGCTGCCCCCGAACAGTCAAAGCAGCACACAGGCCAGTAAGAAAATTCACCTCAAGAAAAGATCTCTGACTTGGATCAGGTAGGCAAGACATGGCTAACTGAGCTGGTCCACGCAGGTGCCAGCGGGGGCCAGGAGGACAAGGAAGCCACACTCGTGGCTCATCCCTCCCGCTCAGCTCAGTCAAAAACAGACAGGGGTCAGTCTACTCCTGCGGAAACAGGCCAGGCACATTTCTCAGGCATTGACATCAGTGACCGGGGAGGAAACGTCTTATCCAGACAGCGACTTACAAACGACAACAGAAACAAAACACGTCCGTGACGCGTGCGCTGCACTGAACAAAGATGAGTACGCTGTCATTCTGGAAACACAAGCCCCGATGACTACTTCCACCTTCATTTTAATCGCGTGAAGAGCCTTCTGTGGGATAATTGTCAATTACAGTCCTACTCCTGCCCACTGTATGCCTGGCCCTGCCAACTGCACGAACGCTCACACCAACCCATATTCATTTCAGACTCTCCAGGTTTCCTGAGAGTCAGCAAAAGGAACTTATAGGCGGCCCGACTGGACGGAACAGGGAGCATTTGCAAAGAGCTCGCTCTCCTGAACAAGACTTGATTTCGTCTTTGCAGAAGTGGCCACTAAACAAGAGATTCTCTTTGCTGTCTTAAGGAAACTGGCACTTATTTTCCAAAGATATAATTTATTAGTTTCAACAGGAGAACAAAAATAAAGCCACAGAACAAACCACCAGACGGGCAGGGTGAGGCCTGTTCTTAACGCGGATTAAAGGCCAGTCTCCTTGCTCTCACCAGGCAGAGGTGTTTTCATCTCTGCCTTTGAAGGAAGAGTTTCCCCGAGGAAGACAAATGCTCCCTGCTGCCTTTGCATAGATAAGTTTATGAAAACTGGTAAGAGCAGCCAGTTTGAAAGTTCAGTAATTATCTGCAAAGACAGAAGTTTCACTAGCATTTGTCCTTCTACACAAAATGCCTGACTTGTGGCAACACACAGATCTGGCTGTTGGTCTTCACAGTAAAGGCAACAACATCCCATTTAAATCTACGCATTTAAAACTGCAACAACTTGTAATACTAAATAAAATTTCATGAAGCAAATCTCACTTACGGCCCAAAAGCAAGAAAATAACTATAAATGCGCCTTCACCACTACAGAAATCAATCTGTTTACCCTTTAAGACCAACTCCCTGACTCCAACACATACCAAAGAGAGGGGCAGCCTTCAGAAACTGCAGACTTTGGTTGTTGGAAATAAAAACTAATACACTTGCCAAAAGTTACAGTAAAAGGCAAACTTTAATCCTTACCTGATAAAGCTTTATGATATGTGGATGATTCAGAAGCTTCATGATCTGAACCTCACGATAGATTTTCTCCAAATTGCTTGAATCTAGGCGTGTTTTATCGATTATTTTTATTGCTACCTACAGATTTTTAAAAGAAAAAAGGATATTTTTAAAAAACCCTCTCGCTTAACCTAATATACACACTGCATTTTTTGCAGGCTAATTTCTCAAACACTTTATGTCCCCGAAAGGTCACAAAAAGTTGGGGAGGAGGAAACTAAAATAACTATTAATATTACTTAAACTAGCCAAAGTTAAATAATTGTCCCAAGTCTTTGCAGGCTCACTTTGCAGGGCTTTAGCTCTGGAACCGAGAGCACTGCACTCCTGGCTTATTTGATCATTATCTTCTTTGCTGTCCCCTAATATTTGTTCGAATTATGCAATCATAATACAAGACATTTTTTTTTTCTTCACCGAACTAAAAACTGTCAGCATTTAGACCTTACACTACAGGCAGGGATCCCAACAGGCAGGCTGCCCCCACGCAGGGTCCACCCCAGGGAGAGTTCGCCCCAGGCACCTGGGTTTTGGTGACTCGATGCCGGGCCAGCTTCACCACCGCGAAATTGCCCTTGCCCAGGGTCCGCTCGATGTCGTAAAAGCCCACCCGGAGGGGCTTCTGCTGGCCCTGGCTCACGCCCGCTGGGGCCGCGCTGAACTCCGACATGATCACCATGGCTCCGGGCACCTGCGGACGCCGGGAGCGATCAGCGACGACCGCGATCCCACACCCGCCAGCCCCGGGGCCGGCGGTCGGCTCCGCTCTCGTCTCCCCGGACCCTCTTAGCACCGCGGGGAACTCGAACCCCTCCTACACTCGTCCCCCGCCGCCCGCGGCGGGCTCCACTCTAGTGCCCCCTAACACCCTTAGCCCCGCGGGGCGCGCGGACCCGCTCCTACACCCGTCCCCCGCTGCTCGCGGTCGGCTTTATCCCGAATCCTGTAGCTCTTCAGTCCTGGGCGGCGTATACCCCGCTCCCCGCGGTCGGTTCCACTCCAGTCCCCCGGGCACCCTTAGCTCCGCGGAGCATGTGGACCCGCCCCCGCCGCCCCCCGCGTCCGGCTCCTACCGAACCCCGAACCCCGCGGGCCGAGTATCCCGCCGTCCGCGATCGGTTCTATTTCGAACCCTGAAGCCCCTCACCCCGAGGGGTACGTGGATCCGCTCCCACCTCCCCATAACAAAGGGGATGCGGCGGCCTCGGGGCGAGCGGCGTCCCGGCCCGACTTCCACGCGCGCACCCGCGGGGCCGCCGGAGCCCCGAGCCCAGTCCCACGGCGCCACCCCAGCCGCCGCCTCACCTCCGCCGCCTTCGGGACGCCGAGGCTGGGACGCCGCTCGCCCCGAGACTCCCACCGACCACTTGTCCGCTCTTGCTGCTCTGGCGCCTACTGCTCGGGTCGCCACAGCCGCCGCCTCTACAGCCTGCCGGGCCGCGCAGCATGTCAGCTCTGAGACCGCGCCGCGCACCCCGCCGCACGCGCCACCGCCCCGCCCAGGCCCCGCCCCGGCCCCGCCCCGGCCCGCCTCCGTCGGCCCCGCCCCGTCGCCGCGCTGGATTGATACAGTCCCATTGACGTCGCTTTGACGCCAGAACGACGCGCGGCTCAGAGCCAGGCGGAGGGAGAGCGGGAGATCGGGCAGTTGCCAAGAGACAAGCGGCTCTGACGCGCGGGCTGATGAGGCCGTCGCCCTGGCGACCGCGGGGCGGTGACGTCAGGGGCGCCGGGCACCGAAGGCCCGCGGAGGTCCACCCGCGCCCGCCTTCCCGCCGGCGCGCGCCCCCTACCGGGCGCCGTGGAGGCTGCAAAAGGCTTAACCCTTGCTTCCCCCGGGCGCCGCCTCCCCGCCTGCTAGCGCACGAACCGCCGCATTCGCGCCTGCCTCCACTTCTTGCACCCTCCCAAAAGGTTTGGGTCTAGGGCGGCTCCGAAACCCCGAACAGCAGCCAGCACTGCTGGGTTCTCTTTGGACCCCTACTCCACAGTCCCGGTGATGGAGGCACTGGTCTCACCCCCCATTTCCGTCAGAAGCGCGCAGCCTTGCAGCCTGTATTGGGCAAAGTACCAGGTCAGGCTAGGGTAACCTCGAAGACTCGAAGAATGAGGCCATAAGGCATTGCCAGGTGACAGCACTCCAGCTCCCACTGAGGGAGAGCACGCCAGATCCTGGAGAGGGACCGCCCACCGCCGGCGACCCTCTGGAGCATGGCAGCACTATATTCGAGGACCTTGGGGCCCCCCAACTTTGATTTCGCTTGTTGTGTGCGAATCTCAGTTCACCAAGTTAGAAACAAGCACAAGAAAGCTGGTCGGCATCTCTGGCAAGTGATCGCCGGAGCTGACGTCCTAAATGGATGCTGCTGCTGCAGCCCCCTAGGCCGGTGGAGTGGGTCCTTGCCCTACCCAAGGCGAGCCTTGTCCTTCCCTGTCCTTTCCCCATCAGATACGCTGTCAGAAGCCAGCCAATCGCGGAGGAAGGTCTGCGCCTTTTCTGATGGAGCCGCTTTGATGTTATAACTCAGCAGGATGGAGAAAAGAAGGCCCAGCGGGCTGGTTTCCAGGGGGCCAGAGGTCCAGGTAGAAATGGACTCTGATCGCTGAGGTCTTTAGGTTGTCAGGTACCAGCGTAGTGGGTTACTGGGTCGGCAACACCCTCAACACAGCACAGGGTGGCTCAATTACGTGTGTTCATCTGACAAGTGTCCACTGAACACCAATGAAAGGACCCTGCCCTTGGAGGAGCAGCCATCCCGAGTGGGCCAATGGGCGGAGTCTGCGGTGGGTGAGGACTTCACCCCTTGGCAGAGTGGACACATGGAAGATCCCGTGGTTACTTTTGGAGGCTTACTGGACCACCTCACTGTTTTCCCAGAGCTGCAGGGCAGCAGTGGGACAGGACCTGAGTCCCCTAGGACCGATGTGCCTGGTGGTCTCATCCCCACCACGGGGAGAGAATGAAAGCAGCAGTGAAGGACAGTTTACCTTGGTATTGCAGCTCACTTTATGTTCTTTACATCTCATCACAAAATAAATGTTTTCTAAGGGAAGACAGAGGGTACGGGTGATTAGAATTTTTTAAATATTAGGAAGGCAGACGTTTAGGATTACAACTCTGCATCTTGCCTAGAATGATTTTTCCTTGTGTTAAATAAAAATACCACTTCTCTGAAGGGGGTGGGGAGTAAAAGTTAAGCGAAACGGATGCAGAACTGGGAGACCTGGCAGAGAGGGGAGGCTGCGGTGTGTGTGTGGGCGGCTGCCTGAAGACCGGCTGCTCTGGCCAGGGCACCGGGCAGACTGGACCTGCTTCGCCTGGTGAACAGTCTCTGGCCGACCAAACATTTCCCAATCACCCCCTCCCTGGATGAGGGTTTGTGAGTCAGCTTGTTTGAAAAAGCCTTTCAAGGACACTACTAGTCCCAAAGTTTTCCTCGTCTTTCAAAAGTGACCCTCGTTATCTGTCCCAGGTTTACCCAGTGTTCGGAGGAATATTTTTACTTCCTTCTAGCTGAGTAGTTTACAACCGCTTTCGTCCCCTTCTGGGAGCCCCGCCAGCCTGTTCCTAGGAGAACAGGAGGCAGAGTGAAGAAACCAGGGACCTGAATACTCACCTGCTCTCCCTCATTTTGTGACTTCAGAGCTTTCCCCAGGTGTTATCCAGCAAACTAGCTTCTCCACCCTTTCACACCCATCTGCCCCAGGGCTCTCCAGACTCTTATTGAAAGGTCTTAAGGGTTTGCAAACACTTGGCTGGCTGTTTGGAAACATTTTGTCATCCCCAAATACAAACTGCAGCCAAAGGGCTGAAGCTGCCTTCCCAGGAAGGGTCCCTGGGCCCAAGTGCACTTGACCCTTGCTCCCAGCCCTTTCTAAAAGCCCCGTGTAGGCTGTGGCCATTCCCAAACGCTTGGGGGGAGCCTGCCCTTGGAGAATGCAGTCAGGGCAGAGGATGATGCTGACCCCAGAATGGCTGTCGTCTCTCCTGCGGGGGGCTCCTCCGGGCACCCTCGTGAATTTGGGGGTCTCTGTTCAAGTGCCTATGGCTGTTTGTATCCGTGGCCCTGGAGATGGTAATTCCTTCCAGAATTATTTATTTCTTTTTAAATTTCTAGTCTCCACACAGGACTACCACTACAAAAACAACAACAACGAAAACAGCATGTGCTTCTACAGGCATAATCGAATGATCCAAAGAATTCTCCCCGTAACACAATGGGAGACACATACACACTGAAGACAGATCAGCCTCCCAGCAGCGTCCTTGGTCCTCAGTGGTGACCCCGGTCCCTTCTGCCTCCTGCTGTATTTGCAGAGCTTGACACAGACACACTCAGTAGACAACTACACACTGCATCAGGGAGACAGTGTGTGGCCTGGGGTCCAGCAGGTGGGAGAAAAGCACTGACTCTCAGTGACAGCCCAGCTGCTCGCAGGCTAACTCAGGAGCCCGGGCAAGCTGGCTGGCTGGACACAGGCCAGCGTTTCGGCCTCCGATGGCATCGCCTCCTACACCCCACACTGCTCCGGGGTGCATTTGCTCGGTGACCACCTCGGCGATGCCCGTGTTTCTTGGTCCAGGCCCTCTGCAGGCTGGCAGAGAAGCAATTCAGGTCCTGGAGACATTGGGACCAGGGTCAGACACCCGGCCAAGGGGTGGCGGGGAGGGGGGCGGTGGCCAAAGAAGCAGTCATGGGACAGGCAAGGCAGAATTCCAACATTTTCACCCCAGAGGAAACCTCTGATTCACAGACCGCTGGCCCTTTAACAGCAAGGTTCTAGGCTTTCTAGTTCCCGTCTGTGTTTCTGCCACAGTGAGCAGTCGCTGATGTGGCTGATAGGGTTGCCCAGTATTAAAGCGGGTGAGCAGATAACACCGCACCTGAGGACCCAAGAGACCTTAGGGTGTCTGTCTCCCGATCCAGTGTTCTAAAGGCAGTTGTCTAGGAAGCGGAAGGTGGGGGCGCAGGATGGAGTGAGGTGAGCAGCTGTGAGTCAGCAAGGGCCCGAAATAGAGGCACCGGTACTCAGAAGCGGGCTCCTTTAAGAAAAGCAACATCAAGAAACCTCGTGGGGCGTGGTCACTTGTCCTGCCAGCACCCGCAGAGTAAACCAGCTGAAAGCCTCAGGTGGAAGGAACCACGTGCTTAAAAGCCAAAGTTCCCCACTGTTTTACTGGCAGACCACACAATCAGGGAGAAAAGTTTTAGCTCCTTCCACGTTGTGGAGTGGAATCCCCTGGGGTGGCCTCGTGCAGCCTGGGAAACAGGGCCAAGAGCCCCAGTGTAACCGCCACATCCTTTACTCTGGGCTTTCCGCTGGGGCTGCCCGGAGCACCCCATCGCTCTGGGAGATTCTAGACTTCTAAGCGGCGCTTTTCATTTAAGTGCCTCCAGGGCGTCCACTGGCAGCTGGGCACAATATGCAGTACTATCTTTTTTTATTACTACTCAATCATTCAAAAAACATGTGAGTTTTACACTTTGCAAGACTTGGCAAGAACTATGCCAGACGGTGAAAATGAGCATGGGACTGACTTAAATTGTGACAGACAGTCGCGCTAGAAGGGACAAAGAGGGAAGGGAAGGCACGGGTCCTGAGAGAGCGTGACATGCTGAGGGAGTCGCCAGCAGGACCCACGCTTGTAAAGCACCCACTGTGTGCCGTGCACTGTTTTGGAGGTGAGCACAGTGGGAAGGAAACAGACAAGATGGCTTCTCTCAAGGGTTGTCACCTGCTTAAGGAGACAGACCATGAAGACACAGGTGATGAATAAGACGCTCTCAGAAGGCAGCAAGTGAAGGGGAGAAGATAATCAGGCCAATGACATAGAATAGTTTGATAGGAAATGTGGCCTTAATGTGGGGACTCCTGCCATTTCCACCAGAGAAAAGGCAGCGGGGGTGGACGCAGGACAGGAGGGGCAGGAGGGGGTGGCTGGGGGAGAGGAGAGGAGGCAGGCGAAGGGACCAGCCCTGAGACCGCAGGAAACGCTCCACCTTGTCCATGTATTGCTCAAATAGTTGTGTGATTTTTCTCCGGAGATGCTGGGCCAGGGGCGGTGTGACATTGCGGGTATCCGGGCTGAACCAGGGTTGAGGCATTGCCAGGAGAAGACGATGGTGCGGAAGAAGGGGTTGGGAGTGCTGGCCTGGCAGGGGATCTGGTCTGGAGTGTGGCTTCCAGGCTGGAGGAGGAGGGAGGGAAGAGGAGGGAGGGAGGAGGAGGGGTAGGAGTGGGGGGAGGTGCACTGGGCGAGAGGCGGTCCTGGCAGCTTCTGGATGGATCCCAGTCACTTTCAGCAGCATCAAGTGGGAACAAAATGAAATGCTCTCCCAGCATAATATTTTCCTATAAATTAGCACTCTGCTTTTCTAGGTAGAAAACTCAGTAGAAAATACAGAAATGTGTGAAGATGAGAACAAAGAGCACTGGTGATACCCGCGGTGGTTTGGAGTCCCGTCCCACCCCCCACCCT